TATAGAACAAAATAAAAACATGATAGAACAATGTAAAAAATATGTGATAAAGAAAATTCATTAAGAAAAAGTATAGATATTAACTGAAAACTAAAATAGTTATGAAGCAAGTTATTATATAAACAATTATAACATAAAATATATATTATTATATATATATATATATATATGTATATATACGCAAAACAATAAATGTATTTATGCATACACATACACAAACATACATATGCAAGCATATATATATAATATATATATATATATATATATATTTAATATGAATTGAAGAATAAAATTAAGATTAATTTGTATTTTTTGGCACTTTTTGTTCCGTATCTCCGGCACGGTCGGACCTGCTTTTGCCAAAAACTAATCAGCTCATCTCCCTATCAATAGGAATCGAATGTTTTTTAACCATTCAAATTTGTTGCGCCGTACGCCCGAAAACGTAGACGAAAAAATGCGGACATACAAAACACACCACAATCCATTTTTTATGAGGAATGCCAAAATGTTCAGAAACTTTCAAAACGTGAAGATATGCAAACATTTTTATTTTCGATTTTCGGCCCATTACTATAACTACCCTACGGGAAGTTAATAATCAAAACATTTTTTGAATATGTATATGAACTTATATATAAATATGAATTTATGAATGGCTATGTGCGAAGGCATGGAAGGGGAAGTCAAATCGACCGAAGCGTTCGTAGTGGCTAACTTGGAGCACTAAAAGGGGGCTATTATAAACAAAATTTTAAACAAAACACATAAAATATTTATTTATTTCAAATTTAAATAAGAATTTAAAAATGAACCACCATGTCTGTTGTGTAGTGGGTTGTAGAAATACCAGCAGAAAAAGTGACTGCAAATTCTATACATTTTCTACAGCTAAGTGGAAAGAATAATAAAGAATAATAAAGAATAATAAAGTAAGTATCATAACCTTATTGTTATAAAAATACAATTTGGAGTATTATAATAGTTGTAAAATTGTTATATTTAGAAAAAGAAAAATTATAAGTCAATAAATTGTTGTATTATCAAATTTAATGCTTACTAAAAAATGTTTTGTAAAACAATGTAATTAATACAAGCCTGAAATAATGAAAAATACATATTTATATATTTTATATTGATTATGTATAACTATTATCTATATTTAATTACATTTTATTATATAATAATTGTAATTTCATGATTAAAAGACAAAATAAAAGTTATCACATAGCGAAAAAATCTTTATTTTGCAAACAGTTTAATTAATACAATGCTGAAATAATGCGAAATATATATTTGTAGTGTTGATGGATCACCGTCGGTTCCCAAGCCCTATGATCGCATTTGCAGTGAATCGGTCGAGGTATTGAGTCCTACCTACTTGTCAACTTGGTCTTGTCTTTATAATAATGTCTAAATTATGTCTTTATAATAGTGTCTAAGTCTTTAGTTTGACCAAAAAATGAGTAAATTAATTTATTATTTACTTATTCTATTGATAAAATACTATTTATCATTATTATATTGTTTTTATTAAGAACTATTCCGAGATTATGACATAAGCTTTGAGGCACTTAACCTTAAAATTATTTACTGCATTTCTTTATTTAATTAATCATTATACTTAACTGTGTTTAAGTACGTTGAAGTAAATTTATAAATTTCAATAAACATTAAGCGTTCACATTATTACTGTATCTTGTTTATTATTATTTATAACAATTATTTAATATCTTTTTTCTTTAACAAACATGTAAAACCCATGAAAACCACACACTGATAGCGGATAGCCCCAATTAGTTCATATTTATTACGGCGCTGCAGTCACGCTCGGAACTCTTCTTTTATCTATGCACTTATCGTAAGGTAAGTTATAGTAATCGCAAAAAACAATAATAAAAATCTTTATATATCCCTACGCTTCAAAACTTTTTGAACATTTTGGCGTGCATTAAAAGAATCGGAATTCTGTGTGTGTGTATGCATGCATATTTGCATGTGTGTGTCTGTATTTGAGGATACAATTTTTCGACGATTTCGAGAATCACAGTCAACCGATTTGGATGATTTAAAAACATTTGATCTATATTCTTACGAACATTTGATCTATATTCTCAATTTCAATCATTCAAAAAACATTTAAAAAAATCAAAATTTTTCAAAAAGTCTATTTTTTCAAAATCTTCAGAAATCAAATTATTTCAAAATTTACAAATAATTTAAAGCTTATAAAAATTTTAAATAACTGAAACCAAGTACATATTTTTCTGCAGCATTATATATTGCTGAGTCAAGTTAATGAATTTTATTTTCCAGCACAAATTGTGCATTAAGAGGCCGATGGGAGATATGAGTTGTCGTATCCCGCTTTACTGAAACTTCATTATCTATGCTACTACTCTTGAACAACGTTGGCGATGGCGGTTGAGCCACATCAAAAGA